TTTCTGGCTGGGAGGCTGGAATCTGATTTGCTCATACCCTGTGTGCCTGCTGCCTGCTTGAACAGGGCTCCCTGCTGGCTTGAACCTGGCTCCTTGACCTCCTGCTGACCAGTATTTGGTTCTGCCTTGGCTTGACACTGGCAACCACTAGATGGACCCAGCCTGCAGCTGCCCCGAGTGTCAAGCTCCTCTGCCCCTCTCTAAAATGGTGACTGCCCAATCCTGCCGGTACCACGAAGCTCTGAGTCTGCAGGGACCTGGGAAGCAGCCAGGAGGAAGGCACTGACCATGGAGGCCTTGCTTGTGAGGGCTGGGCAGCCAGGTCTAAGGACAGCACTGCTTCTTGTGTCCCACCTGCACAGATTCTTATCACTGCTGCTCGGGATGAGGTGGGACAATTTCCTTTTCTTTTGCAGGAAGCTCATCAGACCTGTGATGGCAGAATTTCTACTGCAAGTGTTTTCAGACTTGAGATTTTGGAATTTAAGATAGATTGAGAGAAAGAGCAATTTAGAAAAGGACAGGTTGGGGGAGACACCATGGAGTCAGGTTATCATTCTTCAGGGTCTGTGATGTCATTCTCATCCATAAGCCTGAAGGAGCAAGGTGTCCTTCAGCACCTTAAAGTGTCAGGAAAGCAAGGCTAAGTAACGAATGCCGGCTGCCGAGGCAGAGAGCCATCACCGTCAGTGCTCAGGAAGCCAGGATTCTCTACTTTTGCTGAACTGAACCTGCCGTGCTGTTGGGCTTGCGGTTGTGGTTTTTCCACTGCTGTGGGTACCGCACAGCCACATCTGTCTGCTGTTGCCACATCTGTCTGCTGTTGCCACAGCCAGAGCCCCAGGCTATGTGTGCTGTGCTGCTGAGGCTGCTAATCCTGGGTCAGGTATGGAATGAGCAAAGTGGTATTTATTTATTTAGTCTTTTGGAGACAGGTCTCACTATGCAGTGCAGGCTGGCCTTGAGCTCCCATTGTAGCCCAGGATGGTCTCAAATTTGCAATGATCCTCCTGCCTCAGACTCCCTGAGTGCTGAGATTACAGGCATGCACTGCCATGCCCAATTACTAATGAAGGAAAATTGTCTCCTATGTTTACTGTCACAAGTGCCTCCTCCTTCTGAGAATTACGTTTTAGACTTCCAATTCTTTGCAGTACACAGACTAATCATGGACTGGAAGGAACTGAGGGCCAAGAAACGGATGTTGCAATGAGGGAACTTTCTCTACCAGATTTAAAGACATTTTACAGGACTCTAGGGATAAAATGCCTTTGAAGTCCTTCAGAAACAATTATTTTAATCTGTTAGGGTGCTATCACAAAAATACCAATACTGAGTAATTAGGTTTATAAACAATGCAATTTATTGCTCTGGGGTCTGGGGGATCAAAATGCTTGGCACAAACAAACTCCATGTCTAGTGAGAGGGAAATGGAGTTGAAACTGAGCTTTAAACATCAAGCCTCGTTAAAGCTACACTGTTCCCCGAGATTTCTTATACTTAGACTGAAATCATTAGCCTCGGCCCTGGCACCAAGGGAAATTCCCCAGAACCAGACTTTCAACTTTTTTCTGGGTCCACTGGTGGACTAAAACCTGGTAGAATCTACATCATGTATCTTGGCTTTTGATGTACCCTTCCTGTAGGTTAAAGTGCTTTAGGGTGACTGATGTGTGTGTGTGTGTGTGTGTGTGTGTGTGTTTGTACGGTGTGATTAGCTTCCCTCCCAATGTGGCCAAATTGTGAATAAATTCATTTCCCCCCTTTTTATGGGCCTTTCCATGGTGGTCTGGTGAAAGGGCCCAGATCCAGGCCTCTGGTTGTGTCCCTTGTAGTAGAATTTGGCGACTGTGGCAGCACTTGTGTCCTTTGATGGCATTATTGTGTAGGATGCTCTCAGAGCATTTGCCTGTCGCTCCGTGACCCTGGGCGAGGAATAAACAACCTGGTCTCTTTTAGCCAGAAGCTATCTGCAAAGCTGGTGTCATGAGTAGCAAAAAGTAATTTACCAATAGTCAAGGAATACAAGAAAAAGTTTGGCTAGTACACCACAAGAGAGCAGCAGGGGACTTCCAAAGACAGAAATGTACCAAGCAGGAGAAAAGCAGGGGGCTTTTTATTTGATTTTGACATGAGGGAGGGTCTGGGATGTCACCGCAGGAAGGTTTTTGTCTGGTCACGGTAGCTCCACTGTCCATTCATCTCCTTTCTGAGGTATCCAGGGGTTGTTTGGAGACTGGGCAGTGTTTTGTTTGATGGTGTATAGTCCTTTCCAGTGAAGTTGATCAGCACACATGCAGTGATCAGGAGAGTCAGAATCAAATGCGTCTGTACTTAAAGGACTTTTGACATTGTATTGTGATGGGGAAGGAATGGCATTGAGGCAGCACAAGTAGTTAGATCATCTAGTGAAGTATGCGTAGCTCTTGTGCATAGTTTGTAGCATAGAAAGCTAATGTTCTCCTACAGACTCATCACTCAGCTGAAGTGTGGCCCTGAAGAAACAATGGTAGGCCAGGCGTGGGGGTGCACACCTCTAACCCTAGCATTTGGGAGGCTGGAGGATGGCCACAAGTTGGAGGCCAGCCTGGGCTACTTGGTGAGTTCAAAGCCACCCTTGCAGACATGGTGAGACTGTAAAAAAAAGCAAAGCAAAGAAAAGAAACAATGGTAAAATAATCATGATTCCCCAAACTTCCTGCCTTTATAATCTGTGAGCACAAGGTTTGACCCTTCCTGTATTCTCACTGGCAGTGTACACAGGCTACGTTCTTCCTTTTTCTTGTCTTTAGGGGCACCTCATAAGCCACATTCAGGGATTCTTGTGAGCCAGCTTGGGGCTCAAGACACTTGAATTTTGTCTGACAAAGATGTTTGACTTTTGCTTATGACTTATTGGCAGTGTATTGAGAAGAGACCTAAGAGGTGTAGAGACAAGGGTATATTTAGAGATCTCTGCTGTGATTTCATTGAAATGCAAAGCATGTTCTATCTTACAGCTCCTTCCAGAAACTTTGGTTCCTTGTGACCTTAAAAAAAGATGGTTTTTGTTGTGGGGCAACATGGCCTGCATAACTGAAAGTGTCCCCTTATTAAATGAAACTGCCCCCCAAGGGCAGTTCCTAGGAGTATCTTTGTCAACCATATCCACGGATACATAACTTTTGCCCTTTTCAGCTCCTGTTTTCACCAGTGAATTTACTTCCTGATGCTATGTGCTGCACTTTGGCTGCTTTTTTATTAGTACATGTTTGTAGTATACAGAGTTTATATTCATCTTGGGGAGTGGGTGCATGCACAAATAACACAACTTGTTTCTTCTGCAAATTTCCTTCTTATCCACCTCCCTCCTTCCACTTCTAAATTCCCTCCCCCATTTTCATTTTTCTTCTTGTTATTCTTCATTCATGTTTATGACAAATAATGTTTACATTCACCAAGGTTATTGTTGTACCCCAAAATGTTGTACCTCAAAAACGGGGTGAGACGTCTTTAAAAAGGAAAAAGAAGCACTTTATTTAAGTTGGTACCCAGTGGCACAGTCACATTGGAATCTGCAGAGCTGTGCAACTAGATTAGGTTACAGGGAGGTTTATAAAAGGAAAAACTTCAAAGAAAAGGGAGAGAGCTTGTGCAAATAGGCAGTTAATCATTGTGAAACATTTTACAACCAAGGATCAGCCAGTTCCGGGACCATGTGTTTTATAATCAGTGGTCAGCTAGTTCCAGGAACAAATTGCTATTCTTGGAAGGGGGTAATTCACAGGAAACAGAAATTGGAACAAAGGTCAGGGTAACCATGCTTACAGAACAGGATGGCGGTGCTTTAATTAGGTTACAACAATTATTAAATTTCTATCCATGGCATTTAATTCCACTTAGTTCCTGGTCTCCTCTCCTTCTGCCCTCACCTGTGGTCCTGCTGATGCCTTTCCCATTTGCCAGCAATCTAACCCCATATTTCCTTCTGTCCATCCTTTGTTATTCTCTTTGTACTTTGCTTTACTCAAACAAAAGATGCCACACACTATTTGAGCATGTGTGTCTAATTTATTTTATTCAATATTGCATTTTATGGTATGTTCACTTTCCTCACATTTTTCCTCCTTCATAGCTGACTTGTATTCCCTCATGTCTATGCAGCATCTCTCTATGGGTATGCAACCTGCTTCCAGGGTTTCGCTATTATGAATGTTGCTGATAAAAATGTTGGTATACATGGGTCACTGTAGTTTCATGTCTTTAGCTTTTTGGGAAGGTGCCTAGAAGCAGAATAACTGGGTCATATAGAATTTCTAATTTTAGTTCTTTGAGAAATTTTCACACTGAATTCCATACTGGTTGCACTAGTTTATATTCCTACCAACAATATAGGAAGATTCCTTTTTCACCAAAGCCATGCCAGAATTTGCTACTGACTTTTTGATGACTGCCATTATTTCTAGTGCTGGATACTCCTCATACAGAAGTCTAAAATCTAAACTACATAAAGAACTCAAAACAATTCAATCATCTAAAATAAAAGATGCAATCAAGAAATTGGCAAGTGAAATGAACAGACATTTCTCAGAAAAAGAAGCATATGGCTCAACTAGTGTAGGAAGAAATGTTTAACATCTCTGGCCATTAAGAAATGCAAATTAAAGCTTATATATTTTGGCTCACTACATGTAAGATGATCCACTTTGACTTGAGGAGTCGCACTGATGGCAACAGGTACCAGCCCCAGGCTCTGTGTGCTTGCTGACTGTGCTGCCTTCTAGGGAGGAATAGAGTGTTCTTCCTGGGATTCTGGACACCGTTCATTGTGGTGATAATCCTTGGTTTGTTCTGAACTACATAGTTGTAGTGGAGAAGCTCTTATTGTTTCAAAGGATTGGTCAGAACCTTTGTTTGTTAGCATTGGGCCTCACCCCCTTTTTACTCCTCTATTATGTAGCTTCCTCTTTTTGTTTTTTTTTTCCTCCTAATTGTTGCAACCTTGCTCCTATCTGATTAGAAGGACGCTGAAGATAAAAGGCACTCATTTCCTTCAGCTTCACAGATTGGAAGTGTCAGGGGGAAACTCCCCAGGTCATGGACTGGCTTCACAGTAAAGCCCCAAATAATACCTTATTCCTGGATCAGAAGAATGTTATTGGCTCCTCCAAGCAAGATGGTCACTGGGGAATATCAGTGTCTGGAGTCCCCTCATGTTCTCATAAATGTAGAAGACACAGTGGGATGAGCTGGCTTTGGAGTGAGATCTGAGGGAGCTACCCAAAAAATGTGAACCTCACCAGCTAGTAGAGAAGGTAAGAGAACCCCATCAGCTACCATAGAAGGGTGTAGTTTTCAAAAGAAAAGGCACACACACACAGATGAAAAATTGAAAATTCAAGGAAGGCTTTCCCAGGTTGTGTGGGCATAGAAACTGTTTTGCACCTAGCAGCTGTAAATTTTCTACCTCATTTCAACTAAGAGTCATACCTTTGGAAGTAGAAATTTAGGATTAGTGATTTCTTAGTCCTTTGGAAAAAGAGATCATCTTGATAGTCTAATGTGTGTGTGCTTTACTGGGGATGGCATCCAGAGATTTAGCACTGACCCTCAGCCTTTTTTTTTTTTTTTTGGTTTTAAAACAGAGCATCACTAACCAATAAAGTTGATCAGGCTGCTCTTGAATGAATTTGTATTCTTCCTGCCTCAGCTTTCCAGAGTGCTGGGATTATAGGCATGTGCCACCATTTCCAGCTCAATAATCTAATTTAAAAAACTGGTAAGTGATAAATTTAAGCAACAGCTATACAATCTTTGCTTTTGTGTATGTTCATGGGCAGGCACACATTGTACATCGTGGCTACACGTGTACTTACATTTGTAAATTGTTTAGGTACCAAATTGCTTTAAAACAGATGAATAAGAAAACACAAACCCAAATGCCTTGTAGTTTATATTCCTTAAGTGAATCATTAACAGGTTAAGTTTGTTAAGGGTTATAGCTCAGTGGCATAGTCACCTGTCTGGCAAGCACAAGGTCTTGAGTTTGATTTCTGGTACCAATAAATAAATAAGTAAATATATCTAGAACTGTTAGCATACATATTGCCTACATTGCTAGCCAATACCTGATTTTGTTTTAGGTGTCTGAAATATAAAACCTATTCTTCCTTTCCATGCACAAAATTTTTAAAGGTTTTTTTTTTCTTTAGAAAAAGGAATAACAAGCCGGGAATGGTGGCTCATGCCTGTAATCCCAGCACTTGGGAAGCTGAGGCAGGAGGATCATTGTGAGTTCGAGACCAGCCTGGGCTACAAAGTAAGCTCAAGGCCAGCCTGAACTGCATGGCACGAGACCCTGTCTCAAAAAAGACAAAAGAAAAAAGAAAAAGGAATGACAGAAGATAGTGATTATTGTCATCTGATGTTTCAGGTTTCACAGGTAATTTAAAAATATGTATATGATGGTTAATCTTTACCGTCAACATGATTGCTTTGGAGATGCTTAGAGTAGTAAAGCACACTCTTGGATATGCCTAGATGGGTCATAGGGGCATGGCTTTTTGGAATTGGCTCTGGTCCTTATATTACCAGAAAGCTGGTCTCAATCTCAACTGATATCCAGGCTGTTTGTATCCTGAAGAATTGAGTAGATACACAGCAGCAGTAGTAAAGATGACTCAGAAAAGGAGTTGGCTGATGTGAAAACTCAGGTCGTGTTTGACTCACAGAAGCCCCATATACTTTAGGTCTTGGGGTATTGATGGGATCTTTCTGGGGTTTGGGGTGGTGCCTAATTATTCAATTTAAAGTCTCTACCCTCACATCAAGATGGAGTGGTTTTGACTTAATATGGGCTTGGATGGAATCAGCACAACTGGCAAAGACTAGTGGTAGTCAAAACTGCAGTGCTAATGAAATTACAATGGCTATGGGCATTACCCTTGGTCACTGTGAAGCAGTGTGAGCCAGAGGCTGGTCAGGCTCATGTCAGAGGTCAAACAAGTGTGATAATGGCAGGAGCATATACTTAAGGTTCTTTTTAGCATCATGTCAGGACATGAATGAAATACTGTAAGAGTAAGATGCTCTTGGTTTCCAAGAGCCAGAAGGTGTCCTGTGTGTTGTGACCCTGAGGCCAGTGTGTCCCCAGTACTGTCTATCTTCTGCCTTACCTGCAGGCTAGAAGAGCCTTAGAATGCTGGAAGTGGAGATTTATGAGCAATGCTGGTGGGGGCAGAGGAGGCCACCACGCCGACAGGAATGAAGACAGTGGAGGCTACGTTCATGAGATTTCAGAGGGTGATGAGGATTTTATTGGTAACTGGGCAACTTTAAATTGCAGTGTCAGATATTTTGAATGTTCCCCCCCACTCTAGGCTGACACCATAAGATGTGATGCTCTTTTGTGATGCTGTGAACAAACAGCCAATGGCAGCTCTGTGTTGGTGCCACAATCATGAAGGTAAGAATGGGTATTCGTTGGTGTAGTATGTTGTTAAGCTTAGGTTTATATAAGCATTTTTTAACTTAATGATTTTTTTTCAGCTTGAAATGACTTTTTGGAGATTTACCTCATCAAAAGTTGAGGAACAGATTTATTTTGGTTTTGCACGTGCCTCTTGGCACAAAGCTCCTAAATGCTTTGCCATTTCCCCGGTGACAGTAAAAAAGAACATCTTTTGGTGCAATATTTGGCCTTTGTCTAGTCCCAGAAATAGCTCTGTCTTTTGCTATTCATAACAACCTCCAACCACCTCTAAGTTTTTATTAAGGGTAGATTTTCAGAAATCACCTATCTACAAAATGAGGGCTGGTTGCCAAGTGAACCAACAATGTAATTAGAAGATTAGAAATTTTAGCCTTACTCTCTACCTCTGGAAGATCAGAGTTTCAACTATATAGCGGTGTCTTAATAAATTAATTCCCATGGCTTAATTAATCATGTCTGCATACTGAAGTATCCATTAAAAATTCCTTACCAAAGGCCTATAGAGAGCCTTTGGGCTGGTAAAGAGGAAAGCATCTACTGCTGGGGGTGATACACCCCAAAGTCTACAGGGATAGATCCTTTTGTGTTCAGTGTCCTTTTAGACCATGTCATAGGTACTTTTTAATCCTATTATTCATTGCTATCAATTAATAGGTCCTTTGTAATAAATTCTTGGTAGTAACTAAACTTTCCCCAGGTCCTGTGATGTATTCTAGGAAACAGTTGAAGCTGGGGAAAAAAATGTGGGTTAGTGACCATGCAATTTAGACAGAAAGTGTGTGGCTTGGGGACTTGTCTTTTGAGCTTGGCCTTGGAAGGAGGCAGTTCTTATGTGGGGCTGGGACATCTAGTGTCAGAATTAAGCTGAACTTCCAGTGTGTGTCCAGCCGAGATCTGAAGAATTCACTGCTGTGAAAAACTCAAATGTGCAGACTCAGATGCTGAGTAAAGCATAATTTTTTTGTTTGTTTGGCTGTGTGTGATTAAAAAAGAAAGAAACCCAGAATCAGAAATCAGAGGAAAATAGATTTAATATTAGATAGTTTTAACAGCAGAAACATAACATGACAAAGTTGAGTCAGTAAATATCAGCTATATCCATCAATGTAAATGGCCTCAATTCATCTATTAAAAGAAAGAGGTTGACAGAATGGATCAAGAAACAGGATCCCACAATATGCTGTATACAAGAAACACATCTCATCCAAAAGGAATCTCATAGATTAAAAATCAAAGGATGGAAAACAATATTTCATGCCACAGGAACTAAAAAAAATCAGGGGTAGCTATTCTGTTTGCAGACAATGTGAACTTCAAACCTAAAATGATTAAAAGACATAAAGAAGGTCACTACATACTTGTTAGTAGAAAAATTCACGAGGCAGAACTAACAATTATAAATATATATGCACCAAATAGAAGAGCATCCAACTATATAAGACAAATGCTAATGGACATGAAAAACCAAATACACAAGAACACAATTGTAATAGGAGACGTTAACACCCCACTGTCACAAAGAGATAGATCAACCAGACAAAAAGTCAGCAAAGAAATAACAGAACTGAATCATACCTGTGAGCGAATGGACTTAATAGATGTTTACAGAGTGTTCCACCCAATCACATCAGAATATACATTCTTCTCAGCTGTGCACGGGGCATTCTCCAAAACAGACCATATATTAACCCATAAAACATTCTTAACTAAATGCAAAGGGAATGAAATTATCCCATGAATATTGTCTGACCATAGTGCACTGAAATTGGAAATTAATAGCAAAAGAAATTGTAAAACCTGCATAAATACATTGAAATTAAATAACCTTCTGAATAATCAGTGGGTTACAGATGAAATTAAAGAAGAAATTAAGCAATACCTACAATTCAATGAAAATGCAGATACAACATACTGAAACCTGTGGGATGCTATGAAAGTGGTTGTAAGGGAAATATGTAGCAATGAATTGTCATATCAAGAAAATGAAATGAGCACAAATAAACAATCTTATGCTATATCTCAAGCTTCTAGAAAATGAAGAGCAAGTCAAACCCAAAGCTCACAGAAGAGAAGAAATTGTAAAGGTCAGAGCAGAAATGAATGCAATTGACACTAAAAAAACAATAGGACAGTCTCACTAATGAACATTGATGCAAAGATTATCAATAAAATACTGGCAAATAGAATGTAGCAAATCATCAAGAAGATTATACATCATAACCAAGTGGGATTCGTTTCAGAAATGCAGGGATGGTTCAACATACACAAATCAATAAATGTAATACAACACATCAACACATTATCATCTCAATAGATGCAAAAAAGCTTTTAGTAAAGTCCAACACTTGTTCATGATTTAAAAAAAAAACCCTACAGGAACTTGAAATAGATGGTGTCTACCTCCATCTGATAAAGGTCATCTATGACAAACCAAGAGCCAACATTATACTAAATGGACAAAAACTGAAAGTTTTCACTCTAAAACCAGGAACAAGACAAGGATGTCCACAGTCACAATTCCTATTCAATATAGTTCTGGAAATACTAGCCAGAGCAATCAGACAAGAGAGAGAAATAAAAGGAATAAAGATAGGGAAGAAAGAAGTTAAATTATCACTATTTGCAGATGACATGATACTCTATATAGAAGATGCAAAACACTCCACTAGAAGACTACTAGAGGCAATAAACAAATTCAGCGGTGTAGCTGGGTATAAAGCCAACACTAAAACATCAATAGCATTCCTGTACACAAAAGACTCTCTGAGAAATTATGGAAATATCACCTTTCACAATAGCTGCAAAAAAAATGAAGTACTTAGGAATCAACCTAACCAAGAATCTAAAAGACCTATATGCTGAAAATCATACTAGTATAAAAAAGGAGATTGAAGAGCATATTAGAAAATGGAAAGATATTTCTTGCTCTTGGTTAGGAAGGACCAACATTGTGAAAATGGCCATACTCCCTAAACTGTTTTACATATGTAATGCAATCCCAATCAAAATACTATTAACATACCTTACAGATGTAGAGAAAACACTCCTAAAATTCATTTGGAAACAAAAGAAACCTAGCATAGCAAAGGCACTTCTGGGCAACAAAGGTAAGGTGGGAAGTGTCTCAATTCTTGACTTGAAACTATACTACAAAGCCACAGTGATAAAATCAGCATGGTACTGGCAAAGAAATAGACCTGAGGATCAGTGGAGCAGATTAGAAGATGCAAATACAATTACAAAGACACTCAGCCACCTGATATTTGACAAAGGCTAAACATGTTCAC